CCTTCCTTTTTATACAGTCCAATAGTCAGGGCTGTCTGGGCAGTTAACAAAAAATAAGATTAAGCAAACATTAAAAAGACAAACATCAGTTTAAAAGAATTCAAAACCAGATAAAACCGTAACAGCAATTGCAGTTGCTATGATTCAGCATAGAAGCATGGCAGAGGTACAGAATAGAATGGAATATTTAGAAAAAGAAATTTAAAAAGTTAAACTATTAAAATACTAGAAAAATAAAAAGGTCTTCACTTGGTGCCAAAAAGAATACAAAGTAGGCACCAGGCATAGCTCCTTGGGGAGTTCATTCCAAAACCAGGGTGCCACAAGCAAAAAGGCCCCTTCCTGGTAGTCCCCCACCTAACTTCCTTTGGAAAGGGCTCCTGGAAAAGGATCCCAGATGATTTCAGGTTCCAGGTGGGTACATGTGGGAGGAGGTGATCCAGCAGATCACCTGCTCCCAAGTCATTCAGGACTTTGAATATTAGTACTAGCACTTTGAATCGGGCCTGGACTTCAACCAGCAGCCCATGTAGCTGGAAAGGAATTGGAATAAGGTATTCTCATGAACCAGTCCCCATTAGCAGTCTTGCTGCCCTGTTTTGGATGAGCTGAAGTTTCTAAACCGTTTCTAAAGGCATCCCTGCATAAAGCACATTGCAGTAATCCAAATGAGACGTTACCAGAGCACAGATAATTGTAGCTAGGCTCTCTCTTTCCAGATAGGGTTGTAGTTGGTATAACAATTCAACTAACTTTAGTGATAAAGTTAACTTTGTTATCACCCCCCCAAAAAAGGGGGGGATGATTTGCACAGGCAGGAAGATTCTTGAGAAACAAAGTAAGATATATTCCAAAATCCAGAAAACAGAATGCAAGCTTGTGGGTGCCAAAAGTGGACAAAGAAAATGGGAAGAGCCATAGCCTCTATACAACCAGAATTCATTGTTCCCTGATCGGTCAGAAGATGCCGCAGCTTGCGCATGCTCAGTTAGCAGCACCCCATATAAGACACAAAGGGGCAACAGTCTCAGTGATTGGTTCTCTTTGCTACAGAGGCGGTCTGGAGGGTTCTTGGCTCACATTGTATTTAACTAAGTAGATATGGTATCAGTGTAAGTTTAAGTGCATTAAAATGCACTTTTAAACAATGTATTTTGACCACAGATACCCCCACACACAATCCTTGCAAAACAATAGATTTAGAAAAGAAATAGAAAAGGTGAATTGTCTGTCTCATAATTTTGACATGGACAGAAGACAATTTTTAAATCACGTATCAATAGCTGATCTGCTAATATACACAGATAGCTATCTTTTCTTGTCTATAGATTTGGTCAGGATAACTGAGCTAGTTCACAGATCATGGCAGCAACTCCTGGGTTGTTTAATCCAGGAACCAGGGTGATGGGTGGTGCATGTGAGCAGTATGTGAACTGTTTCCCCTTTTAATTAAGAACACAGGAAATTCCTGTTCCTAGATTGTTAACTAAAGCAGAAATGGTTTGCAGGTGCTACTTACCACTGGCAATTCATAGGTCAAAAAGCTCAGGAAATGCTACCTTGTTATGTGAATCCTGTATTGATCTTGGGTAATTCTTTCAGGACAAGATGTTTATTCTTTACCCATCTCTTCTTCCATTTACTTTACGCAGTTCACCTAGGCCTCTCCTCCTCCTCCACATTCCTGAGTGAACTTCAAACACATCTTGAACTATTTCCCTACTTGTTCCTCTATGACTGTATTGTTGTCTCTCCAGCCATCAAAGGTGGCTAGTTGTGGGGCACCAGCTAGGAAAGCAGCCCCTGACTGCTGTGCAAGCAGCATCTTTTGTCTGCACCAGCTACAGCTGCCTTTTGGGCTGCTGCCGCCGACATAGGGGGTGGTTGCCAGTTGTGCAACCAGAGTTCAGGGAGTGTTTGTGAACTTCCTCTTGCCTCAGCAATCTTTGGAAGCCCAGCTGAGCACAAGAGGAAGGAGGGACGGATTCTGACAGGATTTGCGTTCGAGTTCATACTTCCTTCTCTATTACATTTCAAAAGCTTCCAGGTTTTATTCTCTCTCTGTGTGTATACAAGTAGACTAGCAGCAAAGTAACTTCCAAACATATTTACTCAATTGTTCCTTGTACAGTTTTATTTGGCAAACTAAATCCTATAAGGATCCAGAGCCTCCTTGCTGATTTGCTGTTATACCTTTTTACAGCTACCTACCTTTCTCTGGCTGGGTTCATATAATACAATTCGCAATTCTGCATGTTTTCCACAGTGCACAGCTTTTTGCCTGGATGTGCCTTAAGCTTTTTTCCTGGATGTGTGAATGATTAAGGGGTTTTTACATGAGCATGGTTTTCACTCTCCTCACTCAGTTCTCCCACTGTTGGCATGTATCGCATTAGCCACTGCCCTGAAATTCAATCCCACACTGATGGCCCACACTGAGACCCAGAGGAAGATGGAGAGACAACATCAAAGGCACACTACAACAGCATCACATAACAATGGTTGATGCTGCCAGAAGTGCAAGAGCCACTATTTTGTATCGCCTTTGACACCTGAAGCAGTAAAAGAGGAAGTAAAGAAGACTGAGGACTGTTGGCTACAGCCACTACCATTCTTTCCAGGGGACTCTGTGGTAACTATATTCTGGGACCACGGAAACCAGGATGTTGGGTTCAGACAACTAGAGGAACCATGGTGAAGACTGTTGTTTCTTACCAAGTTTTCTGAATACCAAATGTATTGTGTTAAAATACCAAGAAAGGGCTTGGATGATGTGACAGAGCACCCCATGCAGAAGCACACATACATCAACCACTTAAAATGATCACAACTCCATCTTAATCTGTTTAGAGCTCGAATGAATTCAGTGGGGCTTACTCCCAGGTAAGTTGTTCCAGTCATGGAATGAACCAACAGTAGAGATACGTATATACTGATAGTCATGGTGAATTAAGGAAAGTATTATGTTCTTAGGTTCTGCCTCAACTTTTTTAAAAATCTTGTGTATGAAGAGAAAAACCATTTTAAGGAGGACCAAATATAACCTTCATTTTATGCAAAATGGAGAGGAATTCTGTGTCTGCACTCTTACATCCATCAGAAACTGAATTGTTTAAATAATTCTGAAGCTAATTACTGTGGTTGTTGCCATCAGATATTAATTATGAGATCATATGAACCACATCTCTCCCACACTGCATTTTCTGGTCGAGAAGGGAGTTAATCCTACAACCAGTGGAGCCTTTTAGCATGTGGTTAGATGTCACAAGGCCACACACCCTAACAATAGTCATTGCCTGCAGAAAATATGAGACCAGTTTATGAAAACTAGGTAAATATATGTATGCCTACTAATATATGACACAAAAGTATTGCAGTAGAGGAATATTAAGTAGTTGAGTTGAACAAGCAAACGCTAAAACCTTTGATCCTAATCAGAAACCTGTCCACACTGTAATTGTAAGGCTTGCAACTCATGTTTCTAGTTTTCTGCAAAGAAAGACTAATCAAAAGCATGTTCACTGAATAGCATTCTTCACTGAAAAATTGGTTATGCCTGGGCTGAAAGCAATATATATAATGGCACTTGTGCACCTCACATCAAAAGTTACTTTTATTTAAAGTGAAAAAAATGTGCTTAAAATACTGTAAATGAACTTTGGCAGATTTAACGGCAAAGTGTTATCTGAATGTTATCTGGATGCAGAAGTGTTTCATCACCATGATCATTTGACATCCAAAGATTTTGCATGGTTTGACAGCTGAGATGTAATAGCAGGTTTTTGGTGGGCGGAAATCTTACATGAGAAAGAATGAAGTGATACATCACAGCTAACTTGTAGTATCAGGCAGGAACTGACAAGATCTGCTAACGGACATGCACAAGTACTCAGTATCTGACAGATGGTCCACAGAAGCAGTCAACATTTAACAGTATCTGACAAATGACATGCAGTAGCAATAAATATTTGACATATATGATATATACATTGCAAAATAGTATACTATAAAACTGCATTTGTTTACTAATGCAAACAGCTGCATTTTGATTCCTTAATTTTGAACTTTTTCTAATTTAAACAAATTTTAAAGTGAGTTTTCAACTCTATTGTGATTAACCAGAAATATCAATTGTACCACTAAAAAAAAAAGACAACCCAATTCTGCAAGTGTTTTTTGAAAAAGTAAAAGATGTTGTTAATTTAATTTAGGGGCTGACCACTTTTAGCCGTCCAGGTGTTTTAAGGAAAGCCAATGTTGAGGGATAATGGCCATTGTAGGCCAAAGAAAGTCACGAATTCTTCACCTCTCATTAATTACTCCCATGTTTAGAATTAATGAAATATTATGTCCAAGACTGTGAGTTGCCATGGAGCAATGATATGAAAAGGACATAAAGATATTTTCCTTCTGTTATTTGTGTGCACAATGACTGGATGTATGCTCAGTGTTTCCCCTAATAAACAGGAGCTGGCAAATGGCATATAAGATGTTGATATGTAGAAAACTGGATAGAACACAAAAATATGACTGCAGTAATAGGCAGCAGAGACAAGGAGGAGGTTAATATTGCATTATTTATTAATTGAGTTTTACATACTATTTGCGCTAGCCAAATGGTTCTCTGAATGGTTTACAATAAAAATTTTAACCCAATTTAAAAAACAATACAACATAATATAAATAAATGTAATATAAACCATAATGTACCAGTCGCTACACAGGTGGTTGTCAAGTAATCCGTTGTACACCAGCTCCCTGACTATGTAAGAAGCGAACATCCGGACTTCAGTCCTGTGCATTTCTACTCAGAACTAAGTTCAATTTAATTCATCAGGGCTTAGTCCCAGGTAAGTGAGTACAGGATTGTAGCTTCTACCAGAGGTTTCGTAAAAGTAAATGTGAGACATTAATTGCTGGTTTAAGACTGCACATTCATAATATAGATATTTTTAATCACAGTCAAGTTTCAATTAGTCAGATGATAATCTGGACTAAGTTACATGAACCTAGTTCGTATGAAATCAGTGGAATTTCAATAATTATGAACTTGTCTAGCTGATTCACTGGGACCTAATTTCAGTCAATATGCAGTGCAAGTCTATGCACTGTTTGCTTAGAAATAAGTCCCATTTTATTCAATAGGGCTCACTTCCAAATATGTGTGCATAGGACTGCAGCATTAGTCTGGATCAAGTCCTATGCCTTTCACGGTCATCTGTCATGCAGGTTAGTTCAAAATAGCTTTTCCTGTTGATCACAAAAACAAGCAAGTTCCAGAAGCACCTATGGCAATCTTAAAGCCTATAAATGCTTTCGGGTTAAGCTTTTCAGGTACTATTATCCTGCTTCATTCATGGAATTGTGTTGGTGGCTCAGATGTCATTGTAATGCTTATGTGTTTTTCCCCACTGTTTTTTCATTCTTTATTCTAGAAAACAAATTAAGAAAGAAAAGATGTAAGTGTGCATTGCCTTCTGGAACCCTCAGCCTGAAAATACATTAACATTATCTCTCTTGTTTTGGTCTATTGTGTTTCTAGAGTCCTTATATATTATAGATTAAATCCATAATTTGCAAGTGGACTTTCTCCTGCTTTCCTCCCCACTGGGTCTCCCATCCATACACAGCCAACTTGGGGGTTATGTGGGAGGGTAAAGGGGAAATCCATTCTGCCAGTTGTTTCCTCTCCATTGGCAGATGGCTTCACACTCAGAATACTCCTGTGAAAACTGTTAGGAAAACATTAATAGCAGCTGATCTGTCTAGGTTTAAAGATAGCATCCCTTCTAAAATAGAAGTATGTTGAAGAATTCAAAGTATCTTCTCATACACTGAAAATATAGAAACGGGCTTACATATATGCAACACCAAGCATCTTCTTGGTAAGCCATGTTCTCATGTGAATTTGTTAGGAGCTCAAGAACAGCAGTCTTTTTCACTGCAACTAATAGGAAGTTTTAAAATAATAATAGTTGTAATAATGCCTTTTCCTTAATTGGCTTGCATTAAAGAGGAGGTTTAAATGAAGAACCAAGAATGAAAAGGTTTAGGGATGTACACAATTGATGGTAACTCTGATAAATATGTGCCTGTAATTTTCAATTCAAATGTTAAGGTGATGATCATTGGGAAGCTACTAAGCCTGATGGAGTTGTATCATAACCTGTAGAACAAGTTGAGTTTCAGTGTCAGGATGAAAGAATAGACAATCTGCAGGCCAAGAAGGCTTTTGTAAGACTTAATTAATACTTATAATTCCAAGTTCTCTAGCATAAATGACAGCACCCAGTATATCCTGTTATTTCCAGAACTACATAGCCATGTGCACGCATTTGCATTCAGGGGTAGCAGGCCACATATTGTTTGAAACATGATAAACCTTCTGTGTTGCAGAAGCAAATGTTTTAGCTAAGAAGAAAAAGCCCTTGTCTGCTTTATATTATTGATTCGAGTATGATCTTGGATTAAAATATGTATTATTTTACCATGCTGGTGCTTGTGAAATAAAGCACTGTAACAGTTCAGCAAGATGGAAGTTCCACCAGGTTTTATTAGCACATTCTGAAACCAAATTCCATGAAATGCTGAGATAAAAGCCGATAAACTACTTGTCATTTTGTTTATCTTGAGACCGAGAGCTCAGGTAAGATAGCATTTTTGTTGACTTTGAGATTTCAGTAATAACAAGCAGAACTGTTAAGGCATGCCAGTTTAAATGCCCAAAGCAAGGAGTCACCAAACAGAGCAATTCCTATCCTAAGCGGTCAGCATAGCAACCTAGGGCATATGATAGTAACAAATTTAAGTTTCAATAGCCACCCATATAAACAGCTTATTAAATAGGCACCACATTTGAGAATTTTAAATGTTTTGTGCCTTCAGGTGACTTCATGCAGCTGATGAACAGGATCTACCAAAACTTATGCTAGAATAAATACATGTGTTAGTTTTTTAAAGTATCACTGCTGCTTTGGTGCTAGAATGTAACACAGTTATTTAAAAATGTCTAAATTTTATAAATTTCTTTTCATCTGCCAAAATATACTGATTTTTAGATCTGCATGTAATTTTGGGCATATGTAGCTTAATGTTTCCAAATGTTAATGTTTCTCTTGATTATGAGGCAGGTATCAATATTGCAAATCCAACTTTTACATTAAATCTTTCTAAAGAACAATACTGTGATAGCTATGGTGAGAAAGCTATGAGAAAGATACTGTTGAATTATTACTGCTTTGGCATATAGGCTTTCCAACTTCAGCCTTAGCTCTTAGTTTAATATATCAGTGGCTGAAAAGCAAATGGTGGTACTTGGGTTGACAAGCTGTGAACAGTTGAGAACTGTGACTGTAGAACCCTAAACCAAAAGTAATTATGGTACATCTCCTGGCTAATGTTGGGACAGAACATAACAGGAAGCCGAATTTTGAAGTATAATCTCTCTGTCTTTCTTCAACAATGCTTTGTGTTCCACAAGCATTTATACACAGGAATAGACTCATGCATATGTAGCCGAACAAAAACACACAGAGGCTGTATTCAAATCTAAAATTCCTAGTCCAACAGTTTCTAGAAATATGTTTGATTGCTCTCCTCCCCGCTTCTTTCAGCCCCTCTGCTACTTGACTGCAAAAGAGACTCTCTAGACCCGCACTTCCATCTTCCCCACCCTCTTCAAAAAGCATCTGGACAGTCATCTGAATGGGCTGGTGTAATTGAGAGTACTGCAATAGCAGGGGGTTGGGCCTGATGGCCCCCTTGCCCCTTCCAACTGTACTACTCTTTGATTCTATTAATATATTCTGAAGGAAATATATATTATTTCTGTCACTTATGCTGACCTGGTTACTAGCATCCTCAAAGTACTTTGCTACCAGTTTTATATTATTCCTCCCACCACCATTGAAGTTAGCATTCTTTTGATGTGCCTAGCAGGTACAGATCTTGGGAGCACAATTTTAGGTGGCTCCCTTCACTTTTGAAGGGCAGGCTCCAAAAAGTGGCAGCTGGAGAAACTGCTGTTCTAACTTCCTGGTTTTAGCTCATATGAAACCTTGAGGTTCCACTTCTAGCCTGACCTCATGCTATGAAGTTTACATGAAACTGCTAGGTCGAGAGGTAATCAATTTACTGATTACATCCAGCTCTATCATTTACATTAGATCTTAGAGAGGCAACCCTAAACCTTAAACCCTTGCTTGTTTGTTGTGCAAGACTGGACAGGAGATCACATGAAACATAATCCAGGTAAGATCAAAGTAGTATTGGTGGATAGACCGACTGATCTGATACAAGATGTACAGTGTATTCTGAATGGGATCATACTTCAGGTGTGTAGACTGGGAACACTCCTTGATCCGATGCTGCTTTTGGAAGGGTGACTGGGAAAGCCTTTTACCAATGTCAGCTGGTGTGCCACTTGTCCCTTTTCTTGAGAGTCAGATATTGACATGGTCATTTGTGATGTTATCTTCTTTTCCTGCTGCTATATTATGTTGTAGATTGCTTTTATTGTATATCTGATGCATATTTGTTTTAAAGCTGGGGACTTGAGTTTTCAAGTATTTTGAGATACTCCTGAAAAGAGTAGAAAATTCTCTCCTGTATTTTGCGCAGACTTCCTTTCATCATGGTTGGTCCTCGGTGGTGGCAGCCTTTCCTACCCATCACACTACTTTACTGGCCACTGCAGCTAATATGTCTTTCAGTTGCACATGCCAGTGTTTGAGACAACCACTTGTACAAAAAAACCACAGAACAATTACGGCTTGATCCAGTCATCCCTCTATCGTGTTGTAACTTCCAAAAAATCATAGTTTGGAGCAATACAAGTGCATTCAGCAAAAGAAATGCCGGTTGCTTGAGACAGGCTGTAAATGCAATTAAAGCAGCTTTGCAGGTTCACACACAACAAGCAGCCATGGTAGTTTCTATCATGGGATGGTCTGTTGTGTTGTCTGAACATGACTTACTACAACATACATTTGGTTTCTGCTGAACCATGGAAGGAAACAATGATCTGCTGTATGGTTTCCAGACTTTACCATGGAGATAGGTGGTTTCCATAGAGTCCAGTGGAAAGACCAGCAATTGCTGGAGCCACTCTAGTCATCCAACTTCTATATGCAAACCAATGAGAAAAAAGCAGGCAACAAAAGCAGGACAATGCACCCTCAGATCGATTTCAGATGTAGAGGCTGATGCGATACACTGCCAGCTAGTCTTGATAATACTGGACTAGATGGATCAATGATATGACTCACTGATATAGGCCTGAACAGCTTTGTGAGTTTGTCTGCACCCAACTGCAAAGTATGGATGCACCAACAAAAGGGAGAGTCAATGGACTGAGCATTGCATGCATTGGAACACTGAGCTATTTGTTGGTTAAGGTATCATTCATTATTCAGACCAGATACTTATTTTACAGCTGCCATGTGGGAAGCTGCTTGAAAGGCTTGTATGAAGTGGCTGCTCCATTTGGCAGCCATTATTTCTGTTACTCATCATGTTAATAATGTACATTGCTTGAAAATCCTCATGCTAGTTCCAATTGCTCTAATTTAATTCTTGTATCTACTAGCCTGATTAATATTGTTCTAACATCTAACAAATGGAATAAACACTAACCTGGCAACTTTCTGAACATTCAGGATAGCTGCATCAAAGTGCAGAAAGAGTGGAGTCTTTGTTTGCCATTATTTAGCTGGAAAGGGTATAGTAATTCTTTCCAGTAGTGATCTTAGGGCTTTTGCATTTACAACCTGTTTCTACATATTCAGGGGATTCCCTAGGGATGCAGAAGTATGTAGATGTTTGGAAATTGTAAGTGAAAGATACTGGAAAACAAATCCACTTGACAAGGACCTATGAGCATCCAAGAATATTGGGATTGTTGAAGGAATAAGATAATACCTAAAGTAACTCAACATTGTATAGAGGGCAACCTCCAGGTTTGCAGTCATTGCTAAACACAAGAAGTCCTGCCTCTGTTGCTACTATTTGTCTGGGGATGGATTTGCTAGTTCCAAGTCCCAGCTACCATGAAACCTGGAGTTCTGTACTGCTTTCTGTCTACAGTTCATCCATGGTTAGACTGGAAGAAACCAGAAATATGACACAATGTATGAATTTTTCATAGTGGTAGTATAAGTGGTAAATTTTGAAGTGCAGGAGCTTATCAGGACAGCTATCACATCCACACCCCATATATGTAGGCAGTTTTAGCTCCATTAAGGCATTGCATACCAGAAGGACCAGCTACAAAGTGCTGCAGAGCTACATCTATTTGCAGGCTAGGTGCAAATAGATTACTGTTTGCTACTGAATGACAATCCTTCTATCTATAATTGGTGTGATGGCAATCTGAAGCACTTATAAATATGTTTCTTAAAAATATTGCTCTGAATACAGGAAAGAGTTATAGCCCAATCCTATCATTACTCACATGAGCATGATTATCAGCAGTTTTACATTGATTTCAACTCCCAAGTAATCCAATCTTGTGTATCTTTATTCAGAAGCAAGTGAATGTGTTCAACTGGAAAAAATCCAAAATAAGTGTACATGTAATTGCGGCCATGATTTATATTTTTATTTGATCAATTAGGAATATGATATTGAGAATCAAAAGTGCTGGTTTTCCTTTAGTTGTAGGAAGTGTACCAAGAAGTGGCCAATCTGATCACAACATTAGTGCAGTATCACGTCTGAGTAGTTCAGTGCCCCCATCATACTCTGAAATAAACAGGAAACCATCTTGTCCTATAGCAGTTGTATGAACGTTCATGAGAGCAAGTCCCTATCAGCTCCATAAATTTAATGTCAAAAGAGTTCTGAAATGAATTCTTGCAAGTACTCTATAGACACAAACAAGGATCAGAACAGAAGGCAGACTACTTGAAAATGCAACCTTTGTTGCTAGTCATTCATAATTGTATATGAATGTCCCTTTTAATTTTGTTTTGCTTTTTAAGAAGCAAACTTCAATTAGTCATACCTTCTGTTTCAGCAATTTGAAGATAAGGGTTTTACTAGCACAAAGCAAGTACTCCCAAAGCAAAACAGCCAAGATCTGTTTTCTTATATCTATATTCATATTTAATTATTAAAATGACTGTACACCCATGATTTACATCTATTAATGTTCTAATTGGGTAATACAACAGCAAATAAGTCTATTTGCCAGTTTAAGACAGCAGATAGTGGGAAATATGCACATATACAAGGAAAGAGGAGCACTGTACTCATTAGTATCCTATTATGTTGGGATGGGGGGGATTGCTCCTGTGTAACTATGCACGTAATTGTACCGTAACAGAGCAGTCCTGTGCATATCTACTCAGATGTAAACCATACTGACTTTAACAGTGCAATCTATAGCTATCTCATATAAGTCCCATTTATTTCGTGGGATATAATCCAAGGAAAGTGAGTAAAGGACCACAGCCTAAAGGCCTTACTATGCGATTTAAGTGCGTAAGTTTCCAGTCTTAACCGTGCCTTTTATGTCTATTTAAAAGTAAGCCCCACTGAATTCAATAGGACTTTCTTCCCAGATGAATGTGCATAGGATTGCTGCCACATCAACTTTAAAAATATACTTAACGCTCATTCCCTCAGACGCTTCCTTTCATGCTTACCCCGCTTTTAATACGGCTTATTTTATTTTCCAAGTAAATGTGCAGTAGGGTGCAATCCGATGCACAAACATGCTTAAGCATACATGGGATTATGTGCACTTTAATCGCTCAACACAAAGGCTGCAATCCCTACTTACACTTTCGAGAGAAAGCCCCACTACTGTCCAGTAAGCAACAGACTCGGCTGCGCAACGCACTCACGAGTAAACCCCCTAAACTCAATGGGACTTGCCTCTAAGAAAATAAATACGCGAAACATAGGCTGCACAGCACACCACCTCAGCTATACTCTGCCTTCCTAAGACCGCGCAAAGTACTTCGAAGCTCCACAGCCGGACCCCGCCCAGCAGAGGGAGCGGCGTCGATTAGAGGCGGGAGCGGAACCTCGGTCCCCTTCGGGCTGATCCTTCTCATGTCCCTTGTTCCGAGTGGCTAGAGCGGGCTGCCAATCAAATCAAAGCCTGGCAAAACGCGCGCGAGCGCACGCTCCCTCTCCTCTTCGCCGCGAACGCGCACGCGCACCCACAAAGCCGCGGCAGTTGAGACTGGCTGAGCTGCAAAAGAGAGAGCGCATAGGCGCGTGCGCGAGCCGGGGAGGGGGGTAGGGGTGGGGAAGTGAGGGAGGGAGTTTAAAAAAAAAAAGCGAGGCGGAGAGGAAACAAAAACAATCGCCCGGGCGCCGCCATCTTGGGTCCGTTCTCTACACCACGCAAGTGAATGGGTAGCTATGAAATTACCACAGGGGCGCAGCAAGGTAGGGAGGGCCATTCAGCGTTGCCAGCTGGGCCTGGGGGACGATAAAACAGGATCTTCTCCCCGCCTTCTGTTCTTCCTCTCCTTCCGTCGTCGTCCTGAGGAAAAATCTCGGCTCGGCCCTTCCTCCTTCTCGGCAGCACCTCAACTTCGTTATCGAGGACACAAAGTTGGGCGCCGTCGCGTTCTCGCTGCTGGCCAGAAAACCAGAGGGCTGGACCTAGGAGCAGCAGGTTCTTCGCAGCCTGGAAGGAAGAGCTAGGAGGAGGGGGCGAAAGAAAGCGCTCTCGTCCGCTTGCCTCTCCCCCCACCCGCACCATCTCTCTTTGCACGGGGCTCGCCTAGTCTACGTTGTGTGGGAGGCACAAGGGGGAGAGAAAAAGGCGAGTAAGGATTGACCAGGCTCCGTGCCCTCGCCCGCCCCACTGTCGTCTACTCGCTGCGGGTGTGAAGAGAGGAGGAGGAGGGAGGAGAGGCAAAACAAAAGCCAAGTTGGATCGCATTCGGAGGGTCGTCCTGCATCGACATCCACCGAAAGGGACTCTCTGGGAAATGGTGAGCCCATGAAGAGTTGGAGGGGAGAGAGAAGAGAGGTGTGGTGCCTACATATGTATCAAGCTTGAAGAGCATAAATCAAGGAGAAAAGAGCTTGCCTTCTACCCACCAGCCTGGCCACTCGAGAAGACCAGTTTACAAATACCTGATCACTATGGTTATAAAGCATCGCTTCACCTACTTCATCCTTTTTTGAGATCTCTTACACTATTTTGCCAAGCCTCTCGACTGGGGTTTTTAAAGTATTTTAGAGCAGTGAAAAAAAAAAAAATCTCTCCCCCTCCACACGCATACCAGGTGGAAACATTATTGTCAGCCCATCTTCTCCCGTCATTTTCATGTAGTTTTAAAATACTATATATAAGGGTGTTTGAAGCATAGGATCAGGGTGGCTCATAGGGGCTGGGGGAGTTTTGTAAAAAGTCTGAAACTTTTCTTGAAGGCAAAGTGAGCATGTGAAATGTTCGGTCTACTCTGGACAAACGATCATGATAGTAAAACGGTTGAGTAGGCAAAAGATTATATTCATCTTTCATCTACGTGATAAGAAAGAGCCAGAGAATTCTCACTTGTCGTTTTGTGGAGGACAGATAAGCTCTTGTTTCTGCCTCGTTCTTAACTTGTTGGTTGCTCTTAGCATTAATTAATAGGAAATCTCAGTGATTCACAAATTGCTTTTAAGATACTTGTATAATGGATTAGTTGACTATTGCTTGATCCACTGAAGGCATGTTTGCATTGATGCTTGAAACTAAGATGGAACTGTTTCTCATCCAGACACTACATGCTGTAAAAGAAGTGTGAAGACGTATTGTTTACCGATATCTCCATCTCTTGCCTGCTTCCAGCACCCATGTGGAATATCTTACAGATTTCAAAGTGAAGAAAACAATATTATGCTTCAGATTATTTGCTTAACATTCAGCTACTCTACTGTTGACCTTTTAAACTGGGTACTTAATTTTTTATGACTAGAATTTTGCCACTGTACAGAAGCCAAATGATGTGTGTGTTCCCAAATATATACATCCCTTTCCTAGAGGGAGAACTGGAATGACTGATGGTATAGAAATCTGATTTCACTCTTGTGGACTTGTTACTTTCCAAATATGTTACTACAGATAAGTTTAATGAAGTGAAAGAGGGATTTTCATATTTGGAAGACCCAGAAAGCTGGATATACAGATTTTTTTCATATTGATTATAACTATTTGGAAAATGGGAGCTGCTACAAAGTTGGTGTTTGCTGTTTTTCTTATCTCTTGTTCTTCAGGTAAGTGCATGGTTTCTTCGCTGTTTAGTTCTCAGTATTCTAACACCCCTAACAGTGGATTGTTATCAATTACAAATGCAAATTCCAGCTTTTGCACACTGTGTACTTATGGCATTCTGAATAAAAGAAAATAACTACATTTTGCTACGTTTTAAACTTACTTCTTGAACTTTTTTCCCCAAATCAACAGTATGGCAAAATGTATTCAGATTAATCTTAACTTGCCAGAATAATCACAACTTAATGGTTATTTTTCTTTTTCAAAATTCAGTACAGTGGTTTTCTTGGATATATAAAAAGGTATGAAATACTGCATTGTAAGAAAGTGATCACTGAATTATTGTGTGTAAGGTATAAGCTTTAAAATGCTAACTTAATTAAATGTGGCTTGTTTTTTGCTGGTAATCTGCAGCTTTGCAAAAGAAAATCTTGTCAGGAAAAAGTTCATCAGGTTTTTGTCATATGTGAACCCTTTTCTAGAAAGCAACCAGTGGTTGGAGAAACTGTTTGCTTTATAAACAACTAATAATGAGTAGGATGAGTACTCTCAGTTCTCACTTTTCTAGTTAAAATACAAGTGTATTTTCTGTTGATAATTTTCTTGGGTACATCTATCCAGTGTTAATTGAGAAGTGAAATAGATTTTATAATTGAATTGACAGATATAGCTGGTTATGATTTCCCTTTTATTTTAGTCATTAGATAGCTCCTTCTCTCCAGTGGTAGTGTAAAATGTGTAAGATTTGCTGAACTGTACCCTTTCTTGTGGTTATTAAATGGATACAGTCTAGTCTTGTGTCTGTAATGTTATCGATCTGTTCCGTGTGGACTGACTGTGCTGTGAAATGGCGATCAGTACTAAAGAATGAACAAGTCGAATTTTGTTTAAAGGGTCGAATAACGAGTCATTGTTTTGCATGCATGTTCTATCAAATGAAAATTATATTGCAAGTTTAATAAATGAAGATGATGTTTGATAAAAGCATAACTGATCTAGTTTTTGTATAGAAATGTTGTTCAGATTATTCAATGCCTAAACTTTTTGCTTTGAAATATAAGACTTTAGATGGAGTGTTTCTACCCTTGTTTTTGTTTGCTTCATAAATGCTAATCAGATTTTTAAAAATCTTTCAATGTATTAACACCTTTCCAGTGGCTAAAGTGGAAGCATATTTAACCCCTAACTTTCAACCTGATCCTAAATAAGTTTTCTTGAAAACAGGTTCCAGTTGTGTTTGAATGGAGCATTCTTTTTTATTAAATATGCATACTCTTAGAACCAGTGGGACCATCTGTATGTCCAGTTTACCTTATTTATTTGACAGTAGTATATCGAAGCCACTATATAGAAAAGTGTTAGTGTAAGCTTTTCTGAACAGAGTGTATCTAAAGGGGAATGAACATGTACATAGCAGCTCCCATGAATGCCACTGCTTCAGGTACAACTGTTTTCTAATTCAAATGATAAAAGGTAGTTCTGATAGGTTAAAAAAAATACTTAACACTGAGACTGTAACAAGAATTGCAATGGAGTAAACCAGCACTCTCCAACTTGGTACCTTCCACATGTTTTGGTCTACAACTCTAGGGTTCTGACAATTGGCCATGCTGGTTGGGGCTAAAGACAGTTGAAATCTGAAACATGTGGAGGGCACCAGGTTGGGATAGACTAAAACGAACAATATATTCTTTTAATATAAACTTTGTTATGAGTTAGGTGTGACTGAACATGCTGTTTCTAACTTTACTGTTTCTAAATTAAGTTGGGGAAACAAAATGGCTTTTCAGTAATATGGTTAATTTGTTTTACTGTGTCCCACACTGCTGTTCAGTTTCTCTAAGTACATTTACTAAGGACAGACCAAGCATGCAACTCTTCACTGTTATAATAAAACTTTAAAGACAGAACTTCCAACCATGTGTTCAGTGTAGAAAAATGCTTTTTATATAAGTTTTTGGGATATTTCTGCATCCAGCTTGGTTATTTGTACTTTACAGTTCCTCCCTCCTTTTGGATCCAGTGCTTTACTGAAGAAACAGCATTCGCTCCCATCTTATGAATACAGAGAAAGAGAAATTGCCTTTTGCACTCTTTTGTCAGCTGTAATAGTGCATAGTTAAGCAGTGATAGCAAGTTAGCCCCATAGAATACAATGTAATTTTCTTCTGTGCAAGTAAGTATGAAGATGTGAAAGAATGAGTTTGACACATCACTTTCTTTAAAATAATTACTCCAAGTGCATAATTGATTATTTAAAAGTAATCTTAAGGGAAACTTTGAGCAGTAATTTAAATATGCCTCAAAAGATGCTCTGAGATAGCATTAACAGGATATTAGAAACTTAGTGCTTTAGAGAGGACATCTTTGAAAATTAATGTTGGGAGAATATTATCAGAAATGATAGCAGCCTCATAGCTAGTAAGAGTGTTAATAATGGTGTGGAAGATTGTCTTTCCTTAGTTGGAATACTTTAAAGAGCTGAAATTCAGAAGTTTTCAAGCAAAAAGTATTAGAATAAACTCTTGTTTACTGTTACTTAAAGTAGAGTGGGTTTGTTTCCTTTCATAAAACATGTTGGTAGTTGTCTAGCCTGAACATTGTAGAAGACTAAACTTGAAAAAGGGTTTCTTGGTTTTTTTTCACAAAATATTATGTGTAAGGCAGCCTAATTTTATAGTTATTCTTTTTTTCATTAAACTTTTCAGAGAATAACCTATTTAGACTTCACTAAATGCAGTGACAAGTACTTGAAAATGTTTAGCGTGTAATAGAGAAGTTGATCTTGCCAAGAATCCAAGTTCTTTTATGTACTATATTGTATAGTTATGGCTTGGCATATTTGTTAAGGAATCTGATTTTAATATAGAAGTAATACTTATGTATATGTTTAGAATCAAGTTCTAGAAAAGCTAAAGAAAATAAGGTAGATAGACTCCTTTATTAGCACATACAAAATAAGGCATCTTGTGCTTTACATATTCTGGCAATAAAGATTTCTTTCAGTAACCCTAGAAGATGGACAGCTATTGTCATGAACTTACCTCCAAGATCATGATCAATGTTGCTTACTGTTAACAGTCAAATCTCCTAATAACTTACAGTTGATGACTCATGTGTAGCTTAATGCATATTTTGTAAACTAATTTTTCTCTTTTACAAAATTAAGCAATATTAAAATGGTATAGTTTTAATTACTATATGCAATTTTTAAATATAGTATGAACATCTGAGGTTAAAACTTTTTGAACATTTGGTAGCTTTCATATGGTAATTGCTGCCTAATAAAATTAAGTATATTGAAGCTGCTTTCAGAAACCAATGCTTTTTGTAACAGTATTCAAAGCATGGTGATTTCAGAGACTACCAAACTGTGGTTGCAAATGAATTATCAAACAGTGAGTGTGGGTTTTTTCTTTTTACAATAAAAATTGAAGGCATTTCAAAGGTTCATACAGGGTAAAACTTTACTATACTGTATCTGTAAGGGAAACCATGGTATGATATTTGTTTTACCAGATTTGGGATTCAAATTTCAGAATTTTAAAAAATGCTTGTGTAACAAACTTTCACTTCTGCTTGCTACGCTTACCTAAGTGTTTTTAATTGAAGACTTAAACCTTACTTGGCAAATATTTATTGAAATAATTCAGTTTTGGTATTATACATAGCCATCAATCTAAATTTGCTTTCTGAAAATTCTGATTTGAAAGATAATTTTTTCCAAATACTTTAGAATGCTTTGCTTTGGTATTTTAATGAAGGAAAATATGATGAAGAAACCATGCAGCAGCAAATGACTATGTAACTATGATTCTTTTCAATAAGCCCTTGTCAACATTTTGGAGAAACTGAGAAATAGTTTTCATTATGAAGAGCTGCCTTACAGAGGTATCAGCTGTTTGCCAAGGAAGCACAAAGTTGTCATATGGCCTATAAGTTCTGTTTGCAAATGTGCAATATAGAAGTCTCTGTGTTTCTTCTTTTGTATTGATTGTCATTGCTGTTTAAATTTGAGAAAAGCTCAAATAGTTTATCTTCTTGACTTAGGCTAAAATCTTTCACATGTTTATATGTGAATGCAACTCATTAGACACATTTGAGGTCCTCCTCCAGGTGCCTCAGGCAAAGGTGGTGAGAAGGGTCACTAAAGGAGAGGGCTTTTTCAGTAATGGAACATGTCTGAGGAATTTCCTCCCGAAAAAGACTTGCCTGGCACCTGCATTATGGCCTTTTCAATGCTAAGTAAAGGACTGTTTTTATTGCTTTTAAATTCAGGATGTCTGCTGTCAGTGGCTTTAACTTGGTTTTATATATTGCAGTATTTTTGCTTTTAGTTTATCTTGATTTTATCATGCACAGTTTTTGTTTTTCATTTTATGTTTTACTGCATGCAGACAAGAGAACCTCTTTGGTTGTTTAATAAGTAAAACAAACACATACAATTGCACTGTGAATGATGTTCACTGTGACATAGTTGCATAATCCCCTTTTTATACTACTGTGATGACTGCAAAAACAAGAGGACAGATAATAAGGAAACCCACACCTGCTGTGCTTTCAGGTCCTATGATTTGACTGATCTCACCTTTGAAGGGAAATGCTGGTTTGTAAGCATTTGGCATAAATACAAGACTAATTGGTGAGAACATACAATTACAGCCACATTTTAAGCACAAATTACTCTCAGATGCTTTTGAACATACTTTTTTTCAGATTCTCTTTTGTCCTTCCAATAATTGCAAGAAATAAGTTGGCACTTAGATATAAATTTGAAGTAGTTACTTAATACTGAATTATTTCTTGTCTAATCGCATATCTGTGTTTATCCAGTCATTGGCCATGCATGAAAATGATTCAGACTACATAAACTGAGTGAAATGTTTCTGGATGTTTGCATTGTGGCATGAGAGCTGCAATAGATTCTGTGAAATACATTGTCAGACACTGCATATCCTGTTCGAGTTTGAACATTGGCAACACAGTAGGATAAATATTTGTT